ATACAAGAAAGAAACTTATCCGAATTAAATGAAAATGGATGTATGAGAAAAAAAGACTCAGATAGAAATATATGTTCGTCCGATTCAGAATCCGATGATAAGTCTCTATTTGCATTTGGTGAGATGCTTTTAGGTGAGGATCAAAGAAAGGACCCTTTGGATTCAGATCGAATTGTTGAAGAAAAATATGAAGAGAAGAATGACTTATGTAATATTGACTTGTCTAGATTGGACGAAGATCAAGTTATACTTCTTAACCCTATCAAAGAAGAGAAAGAGGAGGAGCCAGTAAGTAATATGGGGAGAATGACCACCAAAAATTGGATTATCAAACTGTGGTATCACGCATATACTCTTGCAATAGAGACTGTTTGCAAAATAAGAGATGCCTTATGCGGAGGTTGCACAAGGTTGAAACCAAAATATCGGGTAAAGAAGAAAGTTGAACTCAGTCATGGCAATGAAGTCGTGTCCAAGTGTTCTGATGTAGTAGCAGAGGGGGGCAAGCACGACAGTCAACTTTTCCACAGCTTCCTCATGGAAGAGGACTTGACCAGATAGGAATTTGTGGATTTCTTGAAAAGTTCAGAGAAGGGGGTTGCTGAATTGAAAGAATTTTTAGAGACCTTTGCGAAGAAACAATTCGATGCAAGAATTATTCCAAAAAGGGGCAACTAAAAATGGGATTTGTCAAGTGGAAGAAGTTACACAAAGGAGTGATAAAACGAATTATTCTCCACATATATATGCAAGTGGTTGGAACTATCGCGGAGGTTGATAATGTAAAGAAAGAGTCAAAAAAAGCGTATCCATTGCTTTGATGGTATAATTGAAGAAGCTGACTTGGAGGAATCAACATCTAATAATCTTACGGCTTTTCCATCCCAAATGAGAAGCAAAAGAAGGAAAAATAGTGTTCAGGAGTTTTCTATAATATAGCATTTGTGACGTCCCTATCGCGTCCATAAATATCCAGCCGTAAGGGAATAATATCTATGTGAAATATGGAAGCTACTTACATTGTTAGTTTATCTGTAAATGAGGTACATCTTTTTCAATTTCTCTTTGTAAGGAATGACAATCTTCTCTATATATGTGATTTCTCTGCTGAGTTAACTCAATTTTTTTAGTTCTTTTTTTTGAAACTTTTGTTTAATAGTGGACATTTCACAATCAGAAATTAACTTCCACTTAAATTGCTGTTCACATGCTTCTTACTAAGGAAGAATAATGTATATGTAACTGTAGTTTTCTACAGACTTCTGCGCGTAAGCTACCTACAGGCATATAAGATGACATAATATATGTATTTCTCTATAATATAACAGTTTAAACTGCTAAATGGCGGAGAACATACATTTAAAAAGTAAATTCGCTCAGGACAGTAGACACTTTTTAAAAGAGTTAGGATTGTTATTTAGAAATTCCTTTCCAGTAGAACAAGGAATTCTGAAGGAAGAGTCGCAGGGTAGACGTTAATCTGACCTGTGTTAATTAGTGAATATACATGGAATAAAGGAGATGTCTAAGGATGGTGTACATGTTGAAGAATGATTTACATGGCACATAAGCCACCGTTACATAATGTCTGTCGTTATAAAGTTGTAAAACTATGGTTATTAAGGTTACAACAGCGAAGGCGTAATTTGAACACTTGATAAATGATAAGATATAGCCGAGGAGGAGAGAGGAAGCTTAAAATATGATGATGTTATTGCCTAGGAAGAGAACACATTGGTTAATACCATATCGGGGGGGTTATAATAAGTCCATGTAAATATTAGGATAATACATTGAAGAACCCCTTCATACATAGAATGCTACAAAACAGTTAACGATATTCATGTGATACATAACTTGTCAAATTATTTACCAAAGGGAGCAGTAAAAATGATAGGAACTATTCCGCGATATATGCCCCTTCATTTATTTAAATAACGCATTATTACAGGAATTTTTTTTCAATTAGGAACCAAGGAGTTAATTATAAATTCTCTTCACATAATTGGAAATCTTCTTATATGCTTCCCAAAATGGGCAAAATCATGCCGGCATTTTTATGTCAGGGGGTGTTCATTGTTCTGAAGGTCGATGCACTTTTTGAAGAGGACTGTGAAATTTTAATATTGATAAAACAGTCACATATATAAAACAAAAAAAAAAAGAAAAAAAGAAAAAAAAGTGAAATAAAACGAAAGAAAAGAAAAGAGAAAAGCGAAGAAAATAAGAAAGAATAAAATAAGAAAAAAGAAGAAATAAATGCAGCAACCTGAGGTGGAATAATATATATAACAGTAAACAATTGAGAAATCTTTCCGTGGCGGAATATACCGGATTCCAGTTATAAAGGATGAGGAAATCCTGTTTATCCGTGTAGTACAATATGTGCAACTCCGCGACGATTATATAGAAGCCGAAAATCTAGCGGAGCGAATTCAAAATATATCAGCTTCCGGATCGGAAGAGGACGAAGGCAACACTTCACTAAACAGGATAACCATTTAAAAGATTATAAGAGAAAGGTGAAGATGTGAGTTTTCATGTACATATGAATATTCCATTACATATCAAACAAAGCATAAGGGGAATCAGAAGAGGGAGTCACGCTGTAATTTGACACATTTCGATATAATAGGAGGGTTATCATAATATATATATATGCGAGTAAGATGAAGCAGGGATGCTGACAGAATCGGTGGTATCCTTTCTAATGGGTTATATGATGATCACTACTTAGGGAAAGACAGGCCTGTTCCTAAAATACCATATTTCTAGATGTTCCTCTTCCGTGTCAAATTTGATGAATCCCATTTCGCAAAGATATAAGCAGAGAGTTCCTCCTTTTTCCATCCTACTAGGAAGGCCCTCAATTCTATCAGTAGAACATACACTTATTGTTCTCTCATTGGAACAATAAATATTGAAAAAAAATGGCATAACTTCTATTCACGTTGATAAATGAATGATAGGCGGTTTTGTAATTACAACTTTAGGGAAGACTGACCTGATATGTAAGGAGTAGACATCCTGGCCTTCGAGAATGCTGTGATACTTATATCTGCTTGTTCTTTTTTCTGTTCTACTGTTGACTTATGATTTTCTCTTTAAGAATATTTTATCAGTGTGTGATTCCTATTGCCGTGTCTTCAGTGGGTTGTGCCCTGTTTCGTACCGAAGCGTCCGGATGGGGGAGAGCATTTTATGTAAATTCCCTGTTTCTACGTGTCTTATAGGACAGTCTGCCCTAATTTAATAGGTGCGAGGGAATACAGAATGCGATATGCCATGTTTATCAGTAAATAAAACTCATGGAGAATAATGTTTTTCGACTTCTTCCGTATGGGTCTAGACTGTTATGTATAACGAGGATTTAAGAGGACAAAGAAATGGACTACTCTCAGGAATCCTCCAGGGGGATTATTACAAATAGGAAATTATGCATTCACCATCTGGACATTTTTTCTCCCTTGTATGTTACGGAAAATTTATCCACCCCGACATTCAACACGAAGGGGGCATAGAAACGTAGATGAAATGTTTCGCGGCCTTCAGATATGTTTCCCCCATGATGAGTCGCAATTCGTGAGCTCCTTTTGACATGTGTTTCGCATTGCAATTGTGCCAAACAGTGGGGTTGATTATCTTCCAAATGTGTTAACTATTTCACTTACTTAATGTCCATGTCTCTAGAAGTACGTGTCCCCTTCGTTTTCCCGGTACGGGTCGTTCGCATCTTCCTGTACTCTGTAATTATGAGACTTCTCTCGGGTCATCTCACGTTAGGGCATTCATATGAACACCATTGCAATATAACATGTAAGTATGCCTGTCCTATTTCGCCCCTGAAGATGTTCTACTCCAGCTACGTCATAATCATGATGGTGTAAGCTCTCCTGTTATTGTTCGTTCGTCTCCTCTTATAGGAGGCCTGTTAATGTCTGTGCTTTATACTCAATGTGTTTTTTCCTGGAAATCCCCAGAAAAATTCTGTGTGCATCTGCTATGTTTGGGGACGTTTCCATATTCTCCTCGTTCAAACAGTTTCCTATGTGGTCACCCAGGTACAATCTCACGTCTTGTGAAATCTATTGCTCTTTGCATTCATCCAGTAGCATCATGAATAGTTTTATCAACACTTCCGTATATGGTCCATGATCTGTAAGTACACACACTTTGTGGTTATTCACCTCCCGCCTTTGTTTATGGCATCTTATCCCCGACGGTTTATCAGTCGTCTCATATATCACATGCTCGGCTGTTCCCTTCTGGTAGACCCTTATAACTTTCTAAAAAGAACTATCTGGAATATATCGTTTCATACGTATGTGTTGTTTTGAAACCTAATTTCTACATACACGCCCTCGCCCCTGCAGGACAAGAGTATGTCTTTCCTGGTTAAATTGATTGGTTGTAGACATTACAATTTCCTGAACGAATTGTTCATCCCTTTTGCGTCCTTGTTGTAATCTCTGGAATTAATTGTTCTCTTTCAACATATCAAAAATATAGCAGTATTTATGTTCGAAACTATGCCACTAATGTTTTGGTATGTACAGATCACCATAGTTGTGTGCATCTATTCCCATTAGGTTTCTCCGTCAGGTAATTCCGTCTATCACACCTTCATTTATCATAAATGTGTGCAATAGTACTTGGAGGAAATGTTTCTTGATCAATTTGCACTCCTTTTTTTTGATTCATCTAAAGGTTCCCTATGTATATCTAGAATATTCTGGGGAGCATTCCTCTCTTATTTTGCCTGTATACATTTTTTCAGATGCTTTAATTACATATTAACTATTCATATTCAGGGTCGCGCAGTGGTACGTCGTCAGTATAATATCATATATCTCTCTTCTTTTCGCAATCACGGGAACAGATTGCTGTCTGTACGTGTATCCTTGATCCAGATGTGCGCTTTATGTATTGGGGGCCAAACGCCCATTTTAGAGGCGTCTACTGTGATAGGGGAACGAATTGGCACAAGGGGTTATCTTCGGTTTCCCGGCGTCCCGTAAATACTAACCACAGTGCACTAGATGCTACTTTCCCAGTGCCTATATATATACATATATCTATACATCCATAAGAAGGATAACATGTATAATGAGACCCCGGACCATTAAGATAATAGGTAACAGCTGAATAGAGGCAATAGCATCATTATGTAGTGTTGATGAGGCTACACCGCGTGTGAGGTGTGATTAAGATTGCCAATTCGGTGTCCCCAAAGTAGTAAATATAATGACGAGTGAGAACATCCGTAGCACTTAAGGACATTATGTACTCCCCACAGCGCGGAATTCATGTGTGGTGGGTTGTTACAGATTTGAATAAACTGATAGGTAAAGCACAGAGGCTGGTGGATAAAATAGACTGAACCTACTAGGGAAGGGAAGAAGGGGGCGATAGCCGTTGGGTAATATCCACGGCTGGGGGATCCGATGCAGGAGCCTTCCAATCTGCACGTACAATATCAGGAAATTGAATAGTTCGGACGGTAACTATACCTTCAGGATCTGTACTGATTTTACATCTATATTTTCCGTGTGTATACCCGG